TAGCTCGATTGATCTTTAAGATTTATTTAACTGAGAAGACATGATTCATTATAGAGAATCACAATAAATTTTGTAATGATACATCTTTCCTGTCATACTGTAAAGCCAGGGTTACCTCCCTTCCTATATTTATTTACATAAGGTGGTTCATATGATGTAGATATCATTCACTGATCTTAAAAACTTAAAGAAAACTTTAGATAGGAATACAATGATATTTCTTATCCAATATATAATAATCTCATTTAACTACGGCATAAGTTGTCCAAATTTTAGGTCAATGTTAGTTTGGATTATAAATGGCTTGAACATAAATAAACCTAAGGACTTTAGATAGTGTTAAGTACGTTTGAGGGAAAGGACCGGTCATGCTTAAGGCATACTTTATATAGAGTATTTATGTTCCAATAAATTCTAAAAGTGGTAGCATTTCTTTTAAGATAGTGTTGAACTGTAAATAGCATTTACAATAATAATACATGTATATCAGAGATGTATATAGTTCAATATTTGCCTCTTTTATAAAGTTTTAAAGTTTTGCAGTGTAATATTCATTTATCTCTAAACATTACATTCTGTTATAAAAGTCTTTAGAATAGCATGTGATTTTAAAGTTTTTTGTTATATCAAAATTCTTTTTTCTTTGAATATTTCATTGAACATAAGATAAGAAAAAACTAGAGATATTATCAAATATTTCCTGTTCATGGGAAGCAAGCAAAATGTTAGAATACAAAAGCATTTCAAGCTGTCCAAACCTAACATCTAAGTTTCTAGAGTTTTAATAGGTATGTAGGTAGATGTGTTTCACAAGTTAATACATGTAGTACATGTAGTTGTAAAATAGAACTTTTAAAGTGGAATGCCAATGAAATGTATAATTTATTGTAAAAGGCAGTCCACAAAAGGCATATGGTAGACATTCCTACAAGTCCGAATGCTCATATGTACCAGTATGATAGTTACAGTAAGGTTTTTACATGACATAAGCAACATAAGGGGTGTATAGTTGAGCAGGAACTGCTTACCATTCATTGTATGTTACTTTGATGACTGGTATATGTCCATTGACCTTAATCTCATTTTCACAGTTAAATGACAGCTTAAAAATCTATATAGTTTTTTTTTGGGGTCACATGATTTATGATGGGACAACTGGTATTTGGTATATTAGACTCATTGCAATGTATACATTGCAATGGCCGTTTTCTGCTCTTCGGTTGGGTTGTTGTCTCTTTGACACATTCTCTGTTTCCATTCTCAATTCTATGTCTGTAAGACAAGGTTCACCTAACATTGACCTCATGTCATAGTTCAGAGATCAGTGTTGATGATTAGGCCCATCTCTGAGATACTTTTAAGTAATAAGTCAACTATATTTGGTGTAAAGAATAGCTTTATATTGTTCATGTCTGTCTGACAGAGTTCATCTGACCTTGACCTTATGTTCATGAATCATTGATAGTGTTTACTTTCTGTTATAACTGTAGTTAGACCTTGATATTAAAAACTTTCAACATAAAATCAATCATAATCAGTAAAACAGCAAAACAGCAAAACATTTCAAAGTCTTGTTTACTGTAGGTCCACATTTTTTCCATTTACCTGGCCTGTAAGTAACAGATAGTATATAATATTCTAAATTGCTTCTCTACTTTTGACTGAATTAAACAGTAAATTACAAGGAAACCCTGCCCTATTACATGTATTTGTTTGAATGGGGTTTGATTTAATCACACAAATTTTCTTGCATCATGATGTTATTGAGCAGAATTATCATGAGTTTTGGACAAGTATTTTGCAAGATTACTTGACTGCACATATTAATGGATTTGTCAAGATTTTAAATGTCTTTCACAGGATCAAATAACTTATAGAATCAGCCAAGATGTGATAGAATCAGCCAAGATGTGAAAAAACAACAAAAAGACAAACAACATATCTAAACAACAAGACACCACAATGTACCATAGCCTAGGAATCCCAACCCAATTTAGCTTCGCGTCTGACAAGTTGAGTCAGGAACCGAGGCTAAATGTACCCAAATGAGCCAAGATTGATCAGAAAACCAACAAAAATTTCAAACAACAAGTTCTTAAATGAAATGAAATCAATCTTACAACTGAGTTCATTATAAACAGAATCAAGCAATTGAACTTCAATTAATAGAAAAGAAAGGATATGGGGTATCCATCCATGATACTAAATCAGTACATGCACAGCAGAAAGCAAAGGGTAACAGTGCTTTTATTGCTGTTCTTCATCTCAATGCCACAGGGATGCCTTCAACTTGGAGCAAAAACTCTCACCTCACTCAATTAGTTCTTTCAACAAAATTAAATTACTACTTATACATGCACAGCTTGAATTTGTTTAACATGAAACATATGAGCTGCATCTGTATATTAGTTTGTTTATCACAAACCTTTCTTTACCTTGTATCTGTCAATTTTATTTTAAAAATCATGTGAATATTCATTGACATGTGCTTTACTTGTTAATTCATGTAATTTTTAGTAAAATATAATGGCTTTATGACCTGTTATGGTACCTTAAAATAGTTAAAAACAATAGTTTAGCCAAGGATATTGAACTACTCATCTATTACTTAGGGGTAATTTTGATAGTAATTTACAATGTCAATATTTCCCACCAAATGAAAAAAGGTATCTCTGATGAATTAGGCCAAAGATGTCAACAATAGATGTCCATTAAATGGGACATATATTTTAAATTTGATTTTCATTACAATCCAGAATGTAATTCTGATATTTGAGTTGTTACTCTACACTGTAATATTGGTAGCTGTACTTTGTAGTAGTTTCAAACAGCAACACCTTTAAGTTAGGAACAGATATGAACAGGACACTTTTATTGATCAGTTACAAATATTACTTGAACACTCATGTTTATAAGGCTTGGATTCTGAATTGATGATATGAAGTAGTCTTAAAATCTGGTGGTGCTCCAGCTTGTTACTTTACATGTACATGTATTACGATATTTTATTGAACTTTTCTTTTATATCTAGGACATATCAGTCATTTGTGTAAAGTAATGTGATGTGTTTTACTGCTTTTGAAGCACAGGCACTTGTCACTGATTTTTTTTAACCTAATATACCTTAATTTAACACGCACAAAAATAAAGAATTTTTGAAAAAGAAGGGGGAGGGCTAAACAATATTGTCCTGTCCCGTCTCCAAGTACCTATGAAAAAAAATCACATTAGATTTATAATCAAAACATCATATTAAGGTCATGTTATGTGTTATATTAAGGTACACAGGTAATTTTTTCAGAGACAAGTGCCCATGTTTTGAAGAACTGTTTAAAGAAGAATGGCTATTGTGTGGGAACAAACTTGTAGAACTATTAACAGTTGTGGGTAGATCTTTGATTAATGTTTTGAATGCTTATATTGATCTAGTTATACAAAGCATATATTGGTACCCACTTCTGTCTGGTTTTATTTACATAATGGTATTTAAAGTATTACATGTTTTCAGAGTATGCATTTCAAGTAGGACTTTTGTAATAAAACGTCACAGAGATTAGAATCGGGAATGATTAACATGTACAGACCATATAAGTTTAATTTGTGAAGGATTAAACATTTTAAATTAAACAGGATTGATATTTAAGACAACAATAATTACAGGCTAATTTTTCCTGCATAAGGTGTTAAATAATTCCAAATTGGATTGGCATTAAAGGTGAGAAAAACAGTAAAGAAAGTTTTTTTAAAATGATATATGATATATAATGATATCTGTTAATTTGAAAGGTAATCATACACTCTGAAAATTGTAATGAACTGCAGTTAAATTTATGATAATATTATTTAAATTTTTGTATCATGTTAGTATCATATTAATTTAACGGTGTACATTTTAAATATCAGTTGTCCATATTTCTTTGTATGATGTTGCAAAAAATACTTTTGTTACTGTGTAAAAAATGATTTGTTTATTTGTTAATTTGGTTGTAAAAAGATTATACATTGTTGTTACATTAAAGTGATCTTGAATTTCATTTTGCAAAGTACATTGTAAATAAGTCCAGTATTATAGTATGACCTATGTTTATATCAATGTCCTATATATTGTTTGGTTGACAGAGTGTACACCTGTATATACTGTGATAACATTACCAATGCTATAGTAGTAAATACATGTACGCCTGACCTTTAATAGGGTTCACTTTATTGATTCAGAGATGACCAATATTTTACCTGTAAACATGATATCTTGGGTTAAAAGTACTTCATTTTTTTTTAAATATTTAAGTCAAAAGGAAACAAAATAACCATTTTTTGTTGTATAAAGCCATTTTTGTTTTATAAAGGTAGCAATACCTAAATAATACTTTTGTTATATTTTTTTTTTATGGTGAAATATTATTTTTCAACATACTGACAAATCAAGCATAATTTGTACACAGTTTAATTAAAGTGTTGATATGCCTTTACTTTATTTATTTTTAATTTGTTGACAATTATGGGATCTGATTCCTTTGCCTGCATGATTTTTCAATAATATTCCACAGATTTTAGCATGCCCGACTGAATTATTTTTTCAAATATGAAAGTCAAGACCCATTCAATTTTAATAACATGTATCAACAATTTAGGTGTAACAAAAGTTGGCACTCTTTCCAAATAGTGAGTCTGTCTTTATTGGTCACTGTAACAGATGGTCAGCTTCTTCTACAATATTTGTTTGATAGACAGTGTGAACATGTTCTCAATGAAGCTACGATTAAGATGTATAGCAATGAATCGTAAGTCTATTAATAGTAAGAATGTTCACATGTCAGGTATTTTGTACCAAAAAAAAAGGTGCTTGCTTACAGGAAAAGATGACAGCAAGTATGTTTTTCTTGTACTCATAAAGAATAACATCTTCTTACATTGTACATTTGTACAATAGATGATCGGTTATCATTTGCTTTTCGTTGTCTTTCAACTAATTTGTGACACAGAATAATTATTTTCTTTAGATTAAGAAGTTGTATCCTGATGCCAACCTCAGACTGCCAGGAAAAAGGCTATTTGGTAATCTAGACCCAGACTTTATACAGCAGAGAAGAGATGGCTTAGATGAATTTATACAGAAACTAGTATCTCACCCTAAAATCTCTCAACAGTAAGTGAATTTGTACAGAACTTGTATCTCACCCTAAAATCTCTCAATAGTAAGTGAATTTATTTTGAAACTTGTATTTCAACCTAAAATCTCACTACAGTAAGTGAATTTATACTGAAACTATGTCTCGCCCTAAAATCTCTCAACACTAAGTGAATTTATAAAGAATTGGTGTCTCACCCTAAAATTTCACAACAGTAAGTGAATTTATTAAGAAGCTTGTATCACACCCTAAAATCTCTCAAGAGTAAGTGAATTTATACAGAACTTGTATCTTACCCTAAAATCTCATAACACTGAACAGGAAGTGAATGATGGTACAGAAACTTGTATCTTCCCCTTAAATCTCACAACAGTAAGTGAATTTATACAGAAACATGTATCAAACCCTAAAATCTCACAACAGAAAGTGAATTGTACAGAAGCTTGTAATTCACTCTAAAATCTCTTAACAGTAAGTGGATTATACAGAATAAAGTATCTCACCCTAAAATCTCACAACAGTAAGTGAATTGTATAGAAACTTGTATCTCTCCCTAAAATCTCACAACAGTAAGTGAATTGTACAGAAACTTGTATCTCACTCTAAAATCTCTCAACAGTAAGTGAAGTGTATAGAAACTTGTATCTCTCCCTAAAATCTCACAACAGTAAGTGAATTTATACAGAAACTTGTATTTCTCCCTAAAATCTCACAACAGTAAGTGAATTTATACAGAAACTTGTATCTCACCCTAAACTCTCTTAACAGTAGGTGAATTGTACAGAAACTTGTATCTTACACTTAAATCTCACAACAGAAAGTGGATTGTACAGAAACTTGTATCTCACCCTAAAATCTCACAACAGTAAGTGAATTGTACAGAAACTTGTATCTCACTCTAAAATATCAACAGTAAGTGGATTGTACAGAAATTTGTATCTCACCCTAAAATCTCACAACAGTAAGTGAATTTATACAGAAACTTGTATCTCACTCTAAAATCTCACAACAGTAAGTGAATTGTATAGAAACTTGTATCTCACCCTAAAATCTCACAACAATAAGTGAATTTATACAGAAACTTGTATTTCACCCTAAAATCTCACAACAGTAAGTGAATTTATACAGAAACTAGTATCTCACCCTAAAATCTCACTACAGTAAGTGAATTTATACAGAAACTTGTATCTCACCCTAAAATCTCACAACAGTAAGTGAATTTATACAGAAACTTGTATCTCACCCTAAAGTCTCACAACAGTAAGTGAATTTATACAGAAACTTGTGTCTCACCCTTAAATCTCACAACAGTAAGTGAATTTATACAGAAACTTGTATCTCACCCTAAAATCTCACAACAGTAAGTGAATTTATACAGAAACTTGTATCTCACCCTAAAATCTCACAACAGTAAGTGAATTTATACAGAAACTTGTATCTCACCCTAAAATCTCACAACAGTAAGTGAATTTATACAGAAACTTGTATCTCACCCTAAAATCTCACAACAGTAAGTGAATTTATACAGAAACTTGTATCTCACCCTAAAGTCTCACAACAGTAAGTGAATTTATACAGAAACTTGTATCTCACCCTAAAATCTCACAACAGTTAAGTGAATTTATACAGAAACTTGTATCTAACCCTAAAATCTCACAACTTTTTTATTATTGACTCTAAAGGACTAAATTTTTTCTACTATCTCCTTTTTGATATGATTTCTATTTTCAGCCAGTTAGATAGATTAAAGGAGATGAAAAAAACACTCATAAACTTCTCATTGTCCTTTTCATGCTGATGCTGATATTTTTTATCTGTATTTGGAATTATTTTGCATTTTTTTCATTTTCTTATTCAAAATAAGTATAAGACATCTGGCTATGGCATTTTATGTTTGGAGGAAGGAATAGGTTAACTTTTTTTTAATTAATTTCCAGTTAGGAAGCAATAAAATTATAAAAAGCATCAGAAACTTGTTTCTATACAAATGATCGAGAGATTCTATCCTAAAACAGTGAATTTGAATTTGAAGTTTATATTGTCCAATGTTGTACCTATATTTTGACACCTACAATAGTTTTCACATTATCATACAGTGATCATACCTGTGTCATCCAATAAAATAATAGTATATTAGGTTTTACATAGTTCTTGTGAATATCATTAAGACAGGAAACATAAATATTGTTTTTATGTATGTAAATGTCATTCACTTTAGTGGTGTTATAACAATTGTTATTTGTGTGTATTGATATGTTCTATCATGGTCAAATTTACTCTAGCAAAATTTTTCCGTAAAAGTGATTCAAGTGAAGGCGAAGCTGAAAGGTAAATAAATATTGTTAATATTTTCTGAATATATAGATGAGTTGTTTAATCTAGATCAAACAAAAATTATTTTCATTATGAAAATTGAATATTAATTTTACATGTATAGCTTTTTTTATCTGTAATATAAAATTGCTTGATAATCTTTATAGTCAGCACTGCATCATGACAATTTTTTTCTATTTTAAGTTTCTTATTGTCATGCATGATGAAGATGCCTTTGTTATGGATTAAAGTTTGTCATGCATTGACCTTGACAGTGTTGATATATGGTCTAATCATGCTATATTTGTCCTCTGTTTTAGTCATAAACTTTTATACCTTTATAGAAACAACACTTTACCAATAATTGTAAAGCATTAGTCAAGGTTATCTCTCAAGTCAGTATAGTTTTTCTTTGTTACAAGAAGTAAGCTATACATGTATTTGATTATTTCATATCATTAATGGGAGATAACTCTGATAAAATCTTTTAAAGGGAGATAACTGATGAAATAAGTGTGAAGGTAAAATATGTCATCAAAGGACAAGAGAATGAACAGTATGGAGTTTAACACTAATGTTTAGCTGGAGGGTAGGAGATGTATGTCTGTTTCTATAATTGTATTGCCAGATGAATATATATTGTCCTACAATTCTTCTCAGGTGTGAAATTGATGACTAGTCATTGTCTTTTATAGGTCACCAACTACTTAATATTCATTTTAAGTGATATTTTTGTACAGAGAATTGTCTGCTTAATAAGCATCTATAAGCATTGTTTTTATAACTGAATGAATTTTAGGAGATGTTTGCACTTCTAACTGTAAGTGTTATGATTTGGATGATAATAGTTTAATAAATTTTGAAAATAAAGTAAATTAGGGTAAATAAAGTAAATTAGGTAAAATAAAGTAAATTAGGTAAAATAAAGTAAATAAGGTAAAATAAAGTAAATGATGTTTAAAGTTACTATGTATAGAGAGAAGAACAAAGGTACTATTTATGAAGCTATTTCTTGATGATACTATTTCTAAAGAAAAATGCTTTACTGATAAATATTGTGTTAGTTATTGTTGGAGGAAAGTTAAATGGATTTTGTTGAAAAGTCTTCAAAGGGTGCAATTTTTCATATATTTTTGAGGTATTCATAGCTTATGATTTTTTTCAAAATTTATAATTTCTAGAATGGTTATTATAATTTTTGAAAGTTTGTTGTTAATTAAGAGGGAGTCAGACCTTTTGAACTTACTGTTGAATGGGGCAATGTATGTTGTAATATTGACTAATTCTAATAATTCTTAAGAAATACCATAAGATCAGACCATAATATGATACGAACAGTTTGTATGAAATGATTATGTAGGTTTGATAGAAATTTGTACTGTCAATGATTGGCCTAAGGCATAATGTATCGTGATATACATGGTGTGTTCACCATACCTCGTATTTATGGTACTTAAATAAGGTATCATTTGGGTGAATAAAGCATGGTAAATATATTATTTTCAAAGTACATACAATGATTTTTTAATGATAAAAAAGATTTTTATCTGAGGGGAGGTACTGTTTCCTTCTATTTATTCAAGGGTAATAGCCACTCCTTTATTCTTCTTTTAAATGGGCATTGTAAAAGTCTTATTACAATAAAAAATAACTGTTTTTAGTTTTCTTTCACTTTATTTTTAAGTGAAAATAATATCAATCAAACAAATTAACAGCTGTTTCAGTTTGAGTTTAATTTTAAGTTTTTGAAACTTTTTTTATGAAAAACAACAAAGTCTTTACTTACAGAAAGAATGATGATACTTATATTATGTGGGAAAAGTGTGGAATTGTCATTGTATTAGTATATTTTAAAAGTTGTTATATTAGATGCAACACTTATGTTTGCACTAAAACAAAAACATATGTACTTTTGCATGTTGAAGGTCTTCTACAAACTGTCTGTGTGTGCATGCATTTTTTGTGCATATTTTCTGCTTTGTCATGAATAATAGAAATATCCAGACAGTCAAATTTATGGAATTTATATTAATCTGTTTGTTTTTGGTGAACTTTTGATATATCAGTAGAAATAAAAAGTGTATTATTTAAGTACAAAGCCATGAGTAATTCATGAATTGTTAATGGTAGGTTACATTGCTGGAAGGAATAACATCAATCTTATTACCATGTTCAAAGTCAAATCTTTTGTTGTAGGCAGAGGTTTGTGTTAAACATTTATTATGGGTCTACTTTGAATTAAACAAGAACCAAAAGCTAATGTAAAAAAAGTATTGAATGAAAATAACATTCTTTGACTACAATATGGACTTTTATGGTAGTAAATGTTGATAACTTAGTGGTCCTCTTGGTAATACAATGAATGCTTGCTTGGATCAATATCTTTTCAAGGTAAAACTCAGTGGCAATAATTTTCAAACTACAAACCATAGATTAAGTTATTTCATTCCTTTTTATAATAAGACAAGGAGCCAGAGCACACAGTATTTTGATAAAAGATTTAGTATTGCATCAACAAAAAATTAGGACCATAACAGTTATAACATCACATGGAATCAGTGTTCTCCCCAGATATTTCATATAGCATCCTGGTAAACAGGGATATTTGAAATACCATCTTGTTTCTAAACATTATAGCATCACATCCATAAAACAATCTATAAGAAAATCAATTCAGATAGCATCACATTCAAGAAATGTAGCA